ATAGTATGACTTAGTCCTAAGGAGGGCCCTTCCCCAGATCTGAGGCCATATCAGCCGACGCCTTTTTTCGTGGGGCGGGGCGTGAACGCGTCTAACCCGCATGCAATAGGACATGCTCTCCTTGAGGTCCACGTCAAGGATCACTCAAGTGCAGTGCCTTGCCTCGCATCCTGTATCGTGACGATGGTGGACGAAGGGGGATAGCTGAGGCTGAACTGTGGCTGTTTATAATGACAAACAAGTTGACAGCACCCTGAAAGAAAGGCATGAACTTCAAGGCGATAGAAAAGCACTAGTGTGGAAACCCATCTGCGTGCAATGGCAGTAATACCGGCAGAGTGCAAGGGCTTTCCAACACTAAGAGAATAACAAGGAAAGTCATGTCGATCCCAGTGCAATGTTATAATAACTTGGGGTGTAACGACCATGACAAAGGTTTACTGCTTAAGATGCGCAAGCCAGACTTGAGGCGAGTTGCCATTTTCTAAAGCTGCAAGAGCTTGTATGATCATAGCCTTTTCTTGTGCATGGCGAGTTTTAAGGCAACAGAGAAGCCACAAACAAAGCACAACACTGAAGCAACACATTGCACCAAAAATGCCTACTCCCACCCACTCTTTGAAGAAGGAAAAAGCAGAAGATATCCAATCGGTGAATTGACCCAAAGTCACTGGTTCAACATGGGTACTATTCAAAACAGCAATCTGAGTTAGTTGAGACTGGATCAAGTTTTCTGCTTCCATGGACCAGGTTCCGGATAGATACTCTCCAATGATGCGGGAGGCATTTCTGGAATCATAAAATCTGACAGAGGTTATACATAAATGTGCACGTTGATCAATACAACCCAAATGTACTAGGTCAGACAATTCCTCAACTTGAGCTTGAAGCAGATCTATCCTTTGATTAGCAGCTAGAATCCCAGATAAAGTGTGTTGATTAATTTTACTTTGAGATTCAAGTATGGTGGATGTTTGTTGAATAACCTGATTAATAGTGGCAGCAGTTTGTACCTGGCTGGCCATGGCTACTCCAGCTGTAACTGCTGCAGCAGCAGACACCGCCACAGCTGTCACTATAGCTGCCGTAATTCCAAAATCTCTACGGGCTCTAATCAGTTCAACAATAGGAAAAGACTCTGGATCTGCAGTAACCGGGATCGGGACAAAGGTTGGAAATTTCATAACCATTGCTGTAGTCCAGGAGCCATTCCAACACTCAGACAAATAACAGGTAATATTAGAGCAATTAAGCATCCCCTGTAATGTAACATTAGCCAAAAGAAACAGGAACGGAGATTGGAGACAGACTGCTGCGGAGGGTAATGTAGCATTAAACAATTGTGAATTGTGTGAAGTAATTTTAAGTCTCCTATCTCGCTCCGAGTCTTGGGTACTGCCAGAAACATTAAACAGCCAACTTTGGACTCCTAATATTTCCCTGGGGAAACACAAGCGCGGACTAGACTAGCCCAATCTGAGGGAGTCATGCAAAATCTAGTAAGTCCCTCCACCTGAGTGAGAGTGAAAGCGGCATCTATGCCATAAGTGCGGACAGATTCTGCCAAGCTTTCAATTATCTTAAAGTCTAAAGGCTCATGATATCTTCCCCTGTTATTGTCCTGAAATACAGGGTATGCAAGTCCCATATCTGTATTAACTGTCCTCCAAACTTGTGCATGAAAAGATCTCCCGGAACCTTGGCTCCCCCTCACATACGGAGGTGGGGCAATCGGCACCATATCTTCTTCTAGATATTCTACCTCCTCCTCCTCAGAGTTTTGTTGACCAATGTTAACTCCCTTCCCCTTCTTACAGTAGGCCTGCGTGCCCTGTGTCTCCTTTTTCTTCTTTTTCATTTTTATCTTATGTAGTTGTTGTAACAATATATCAAGGTCCTCAGAACTCTCTGAGTCGCTTGTGTTCTCAGGCGTTTTTAATTCGGTCAAGTCTGGGTAGAGCCTTCTCCTATTTTTATCTTCAGGCTCTTTTGCCTTCTCACTACTGTTACTTTTAATACTCTCTGCCACTCCACTACATGGTCCTTCAGATTTTTCCTCATGCAGTTGCTCAAGAATAGCTTGACCCTCACTCACAGCTTCCTGGCATTTACCATCTGTAAGGCAACCACAGACCATTTTCCAAAGGGGTATCACCCCACCCTCTAATATGCCCTGCTCAGAAGCAAAGTCAAGATCTTTGCCTAATTTATCCCAACTAGGCACAGTAAGGCTGCCCGAAAATGCAAACCACGGTACAGCGATATCTATCTTCTGTAAAAATCTCTGTAAAGTACTATGTTTCACTTCCAGTCCCTTGGAACGTAACAGGCCATCTAGGGCCAGGAGAAGCGGACTTGAAGATGCGGCACCCATGACACAACAACAAAGGAAGCACAAAAAAAAGAAAGCGAAAGTAGAAGCGAAAGTACACAGTGCAGCTGCAATAAAATGTAAGGCTCTCTCTTTCATTACAGAGGAGCTGTCCCGCTTTGGTCGTGGATCCCACTTACTAGGGACTAACCCCGCTTTGATCGCGGATCCCACTTACCTGGGACTAACCCCGCTTTGATGGCGGATCCCACTTACCTGGGACTAACCGGTGCACCACCCCTGACTGCTGAAAGTTCTGGTTCCCGGGTCTCGGCACCACTTGTCGCGACCCCTTGCCCGCAAGGAAGACGCAACTCAGGAATCTTCTTTCAGCAGTTTATTCAGGCCCTTGATATTTCTTCTTCTCTCCCTCGGATGCCCCTCCCAGCCTTAATAAAGCATCCCAAGCCCCAATGCAAAGCTGCCGCGTGGAGCTTTCTCACAGGGTGGTGAAAAATCATATGCCAACTTTCCCAGATAAGAAGTTGTTTGTCACAGACCACAGTGGAGCCAGCGTCATCTTGTAATGGCGACCATAGTCTGCAGAAACAGCAGAAGCGGCTCACCACAGATCACTACTTCTGTGATGTCCACCCTGTGCTGAAACTTGCCTGCACAGACACCTATATTATTGGTATTGTTATGACAGCCAATAGTGGTACCATTAGTCTAGGGAGCTTTGTGATCTTGCTCTTCTCTTACAGTGTCATTCTGGTGACTCTGAGGAAGCAGTCAGCAGAAGGAAGATGCAAAGCTCTGTCCACCTGTGGCTCCCACATTACAGTGGTCATCATCTTTTTCGGTCCCTGTACTTTTATATACATGAGGCCTGACACTACCTTCTCAGAGGATAAGATGGTGGCTGTATTTTACACCATTATCACTCCCATGTTGAATCCTCTGATTTACACACTGAGAAATACAGAAGTAAAAAATGCTATGAAGAAACTGTGGGACAAGAAGGTGTTTGGGACCAGTGGGAAATAGTTGGAAGTAATAATTTGAACTGAATGATTTTATGACTTATCTTATATTTTCTCCACTGTGTTTAACCCCTCTGTACAATAAAGACAACCAGGACAAACTCACAGGATTTGAGGAAAGAACAAATGAAAGAATAACATATTTTACAAAGAAAAATTATGATCATTATTATCTTAATTATTTTAAAATCTGGTAATTTCCAGAAATCTATGCTAGGTATTCCTGTAACTAACAAACTTAAAATTATCATATTCTAAGGGGGACAAACGAAGGTCAGTAGAGGGGGCAGAGAGAGAAGAGGGGAGGGGAGGGGAGGGGAGGGGAGGGGGGATAGTAGAGTATAGGAAAGGCAGCAGAATACAACAGACACTAGTATGGCAATATGTAAATCAATGGATGTGTAACTGATGTGATTCTGCAATCTGTATATGGGGTAAAAATGGGAGCTCATAACCCACTTGAATCAAATTGTGAAATATGATATATCAAGAACTATGTAATGTTTTGAACAGCCAACAATAAAAAATTTAAAAAAAAATTAAAAAAAAATAAAAAAAAAAGAAACGAGAAAAAAAAAAGATGTCTTTCTATTGAATTAGCAAAGGATTTTATTGGATTTCAGATACTCTGGGACTGAGGTTAATGTTAAATCTGACTATATGTAATATGTCCTTAATATAACGGCTGGTTTTTTAAAAAAAAAAAAATTTCTAGTTGTAGATGGACACAATATCTTTATTTTTATTTATTTATTTTTATGTGGTGCTGAGGATCAAAGCCAGGGACTCACACATGAGAGGCAAGGGCTCTACCACTGAGCTACAACCCCAGGCCTAATTGCTGTTTTATACGGGTTTTTATTGTTAATCTTGTACTATTTACTTTATTTTCACTTTTTCCCCCCACACAAACTTTACTTTCCACTTGTATTTGAAATTCCTTCTTTTTTCATTTCTTCCAAAGTGGTCTGGGACAGTCACTTCAAGTGCACAGATAATCCTCATTGGGCAGCACAAGAACTCATCCTGACAATCTTCATTATGGGGAAAAACAATAATAATAATAATAATAATAATAATAATAATAATAATAGCCAAAGCATTCATCATCCAGGAATCTGAATGATGATTGCTTTCTTTTTACCTTTAACTTGAATTATTTATATTAATTGAACGACTTCCTGCCTTTGCAAATAAAAAACATGAACAGAAGCACTATCAATTTTTAAATTTTTTTTCTAGTTGTAGATGGACACAATATCTTTATTTTTATTTATTTATTTTTATATGATTTTAGGATACTTGCTTTAAAAATATTTTTAAAATGAATCACTGTAATTTGCAAAGTTTTAATGTTTAGAGCTTCTTTGCTGGAAGCTTCAGGCTCCCTCGCTGAACATTGCTGAAAGCTTCATCCGTGTGTACACTGGAGGTTTTCCCCCTTCATAGTTCCCAGCCCTCTAGTGGTAGTTATACTAATGTCACTTTGTAGTCCCTGAACAGGAAATGCCTGTTTTTACTTCAGTTACCAGAATCCTTTCACAGGAAGTTAGGTGTGGTCTTTGAAGGAGAATTTGAAAAAAAAAAATCTTTTTTTTTCTTTTTTTTTTTTTTTTCTTTTTTTAAGCATGATGGAATTTTAGCTGCAGTCTTCTTGGTTCCAGTTTATCAGTCCCAAACTCTGAGTGTAAAAGAGTCTTCAGGGCACTTTCTCATGCAAGGAGCTAAACAGTGATTAAAGGAGCAGGATGAAAAGATGGCACAGTCAGTGCTGGTACCGCCAGGACCTGACAGCTTCCGCTTCTTTACCAGGGAATCCCTTGCTGCCATTGAACAACGAATTGCAGAAGAGAAAGCTAAGAGACCCAAACAGGAGCGCAAGGATGAGGATGATGAAAATGGCCCAAAGCCAAATAGTGACTTGGAAGCAGGAAAATCCCTTCCATTTATTTATGGAGACATTCCTCCAGAGATGGTGTTAGTGCCTCTGGAGGACTTGGACCCCTACTATATCAATAAGAAAGTGAGTTCCTAGTCCAGTTGCCTTTATTGCCCTATTGCCTGTTTCTGGGCTGGTCCCATGGATTATGGCAAAGATTGTTTGACCTCCTCCTGTCTGTCTAAAGTATTTGTAAGTTGCTGGGTGGGCCTGATCCAGTAGTGGACCAAGGATCCCAGAAATCTTTGGGAAACATTCATGTGAACCTGCATTCTGGGGACAGGCAGAGAACTGAAGAGGCATTGGGGGAATTGAGGAAGAGCAAATGCCAATTCACCTTCATGAATGCTAATTATATGTAAAATTGAGTGCAAATCAACCCTGGTTCTCTGGCAATGTGATATCAGGTTGATGTGAAAAGTAGCAAGTAGGAGTATATTTGAAATACATTTTTTTTTATATTTCCAAGAACAGTATCAAAATTCCCTTTTATGATCTTCAGCTCTACACAAGGCACTTTGGTCTTCCGTAAATTTAATTATGATTTCACACCATAGACATTCTCCTTTCTATGCTTCTCCACAGAAGAAATAATCACAGATGATATATAAGTGCCAGAAAGTTTTAGCCAAGAACATGGCCTGGAAAAACCTTGAAGTCCTCATAAGAAAATTATCTAAACCAAAGTAATTGAACCCTTTTTTCTGTTTCCTGTGAATTTTACATGCAGTTTTAAAATACTGATGTTAAAACTTAATAAAGATGCCAAGAATTCCTATGGCACTGACAACAAATTTTCTGCACAATCTTTAAATTATCATGCCACTTATTAAATTAGGAGAGTTTATAGTGCTCAGGAAAAAAAAAAAAAAAAAAAAAAAACTCTATCATCTTGCCACATGTTGGCAATTAGTGTACTAGTACATTATGTTATTGGACAATGTTTTCACATATGGTTTCACCTTTCCTTTAAAATATCCTTAATATATATTCTAAATTTAAAAAAAAAAATAAAATAAAATAAAATTATCATATTCAGTATCATTATTTCCTTCTCCATTTTATGTTTTGTGATATTTTAAAATGAGAACATTCTAAGAAGTATTACTTAAAGCCATTTCTGTGGTTTTGAACTATGACTGGTGCATTTTAATCTCTCATATGGGTATATTGTGTGGATTTTAGAATACCTAAAAAGCAACACATCAAAGCTAATGTTCTCCTATATAAATTCTTCAAAAGACAGGGAAAACTAAACCAATAAGCCTGGACTGAGAACGGAAGTGTTTGCAGAATGTCAAACAGATAACTCCGAAGCTGAAAAGACAAAAGATTAGTTTTCATCATTTGGTCTTGGGAAAAATATTTCCATACTGTGGCGCTCATTGTACCCAAACAGTAAGAAGATTGAACTGATTAAGCTGTGAGAGTCCCCTTTTCAATTGCAATATCTCAGTGGTATTCTCATTCTGGACAATTATTATTTTTTTCTTGTTTGAACTGATATTTTCTCTGGTGACCCAGTTCTCCTTCCTTCTCCATGAGCCACATCCTGAAATTTATTAATTTTTTTTTAGTAAATATGCATAGCACCAATTGCCTCTGCTATTGTTTCATTGTCTTTTCCTGACATCGATTATCCATGCTACTGCCTGTTCTTGGGTTTGTGTCTGTGGCTGATTGAGAAGTATAAGCATTATTCATGGAAAGGACCACAGTGCTTAATAAATGACTGGTGATCTTGATGTATCCACAGAATTAAAAGCAAAAAAGATTAAAAAATATCAACAAGATGTTTGAATTTGAAATTAAAACCATATTTAGGCCTTTTGCTTGAATAATACAAATTTGTGTTTATTTTCCTACTTTAAATATTCATTTGCTGGGTCTCTAAATTTTGAAAGGAGTTGATCAATGCTTTACAAACTCATCATTATAATTACCTTTTATTTTCATGCACAAATGGACATTTTAAAAGAATCTTTTCAGTTAGGCCAGGTTAAGGGTCTATAAGAATCTACATTTTAAACAAGTTTCTCTGTGAATTTCTGTGCAGGCAGTGACATATCAGGAAACAAATTGGGGAACTGGAACTTGATGATTCTTCATGTTGTTAGAATGTAAGAGTTCTATAAGTTGAAAGAATACAAACAGGTCTTTTGAATGTTTCCCCCTGTGTTATGCAGTACAGTGAACAGAGAGCTAAAATTGAGCTGAGCTTGCAAAACAGCATAATAAATAAATATCACACATTTGATAACTTCTCTCTATAATACTCTGTTTTATGACTGTACCCTAAATAATTATTTGTCTGATGTCCCTGGGAAGGTAGTAGATGGCACTGTTTTGATTCACAGAGACCAGTAAGTAAAACATCTCCAGGATTATTCAAGTTTTCACCAGCCACTTTATAAGTTATACCTGTTCCTGAAATGTTCTGAGTCAGTCCCTGTGGGAGGAAGCAAGTAGACTTGTGATTCCTGGGAAGGAGATAAAAAAATAATCCTGAAAACTCAAACTCACCCCAGTTCTGGTATGTGTACCTGGGATTGAACTCAGGGGCACTCAACCACTGAGCCACATCCCTAGTCCTATCTAGTATTTTACATAGAGACGTTGCTTAGCACCTGCTTTTTCTGAGGCTGGCTTTGAACTCATGATCCTCTTGCCTCAGCCTTCTGAGCCATGGGGATTACAGGTGTGCACCACTGTGACTGACTTGTCCCAGTTTTTAATCCAGGATCAGAACATCCGCATATGGAGGGGATGTGAATTTGAATAGTTTGAAAGATATAATAACAATTTCACTGATATTTGCATGTTTTATGTAAATATTAACAAATTGCACCCCAGTAATATCCATTTATTCATTTACATTTTTTTTCCAATTTAAAAGCATTACACAGGTTGGAAAATTTCCCATGCTGTGCATTTACAAACAGCGTATTTTTTTTAACACTTATAAAGACTTTAAAAATGAGTATAGAATTCCTCAGTATTTATCCTGAAGAATTAATCATCTTGCTACCATGCTACATACATGCACATGTTGATAGCAGCACAATTCACAATAGTCAAAATATGAAACCAGCCTAGATGTCCATCAATGGATAAATGGACAAAGAAAATGTGATTGATATATATATATATATATATATATATATATATATATATATATACACACACACACACACACAACATACACACACACACAAACACACACACTCAGTATTATTCTGCCATAAGGAAAAATGAAATTATGACATTTTCAGGAAAATGGATAGAACTAGAGACCATCATGTTTGGTGAAATAAGTCAAACTTAGAAAGGAGGCAAAGGGTCTTATGTTTTCTCTCCTATGTCGAAGCCAAAGTGCACAAAGGAAAAAAAAAAGTGTGTATCAAGGAATCTACTAAAAATCAAAGGGGGATGAATGGAGGAAAGGGACTTGTAAGGTCAGGCAGCAGCAACCAAAAGGAGGTAGATTTAAAAAGGCTGCTGAAGGAGGCTTTATTGAGATTTTGCTACCAGGTGAGATCCTCAGACCAACAGGGTGGTTCTGAGGAGAAGCTGGTGGGGGTGGACTGGACTGGAATTTTTATTGGACTTAGGGCAGGAAGGGAGGGATTGGGACAGGAAAAGGGGATTTTTATACTCCCTTGTCCTACTTGGGTTGGTGGGGGGAGGGGGCTGGCTAAGATCCAGGATTGGCCAGGAGACTCTGCTGATTGACAGGTGGTTCTGTCAGCACCTGATTGGTGGTTCTTTTGAGCGGGTTGGTTCTTTTGAGCATTGTTGCTTGTCCACTTCCACCAACCTAACAGGTCCAAGGGGTGAGAGCTAGAGCCAAGGCAAATGATGGGGAGAAATATTGGCCAAATTACATTGTTATATTGTGTACAAGTATGAATATGTAACAATGAATCCCATCATTAAGTACAACTGCAATGCAACAATAAAAATGTGGTAAAATGAGTGTATAAGTATAATCATTGTGATAAATTTAAAAGTTTGATAGAAATAGATGTTCATTTTCAAATTTCAAAATTCTAATTACTGAAATACACCACCTAAAGGATACTAAGAATTAAATAAAGTAACGCATAATAGTAATATGCAATTACATTGCATTTTATATTTTAGAAACACGTGTGGTTAATTGAAAGGTCTGAAATATACAACACACTCATTTTGTAAATTGCTTTCATTTTTCTTTATTACAATGAAAATCAATGAATGTAAATAGTTAGTACTTCTTCCGACATAGCTGATTTTTCCATGAAGATATTTGTTTCCTAAAGCAGGACATAACTGCAGTTCATATACTTTGCTCTGATAACAGTGTTATAGTGCCCATATGTGCGGACTCATGAAGAACAGAATAAGTTGAAGAATGTCAGAGCTAGGAGGGACCAGGAGGTCATCTGATCTACTCTTGTATAAAATCTCAGAGAAGCAAAGCAACAGAAAGAGAGTGGCCAGGGGTCTTCTCTCCTCAAGGTTTGTTACTGTGGGTGACAGCACATCCCATCTTTGTTGCGTTAATGACATTGATTCTGGGTTGGGAACTAGATCAGGCAAAGGGTAACAACACCAGAGGCTTCAATAACCTTCATCTTGTCTTGGCCCCACAATCTCTCAGGGCCTTCTTCATGTGTGTATTTCTCAGTGTGTAAATGAGGGGGCTGAGCAAGGGGGAAATAATGGTGTGAACAGAGCAAACACTGTGTCATTGCTGGTAGAATCAACCCTGACATAGTGAAGAACAGAATAAAGAAAACCACAGTGATGTCTGAGCCATAGTTGAAGAGGATTTGAGGTGGCACTTGGGGAGCAGGTCCTCAAGATGAACAGGGTGATGGTGTAAAAAATTACAAAGACAACAAATATCAAAAGATATATCATTCCTGTGGTGGTAAGGATTGTCATGTGCAGGAGCCTCATGTCAGTTCAGGCTAGCTTCAGCAAGGGGAACATGTCACAGAAGTAGTAGTCTTTCTGATAGGGGCCAGTCTCCATGAGCATCTGTGAGGAACTTGGACAGAACTGTGGGATATAACAGTTGGTATGACACAGGGGTTAAATGGTTGAGAAAGTTTTATTTACCAAAATGATGGTATTTGGGTGCAAGGGAATACCCAGACATTTGAGGGCTGTCAGATATTATAAGCAACTTATTACAAATAAAAAGAGACCTAACACAAAATCCTTCAGATGAGGTAAAAACTGGTGAAGACCATATTAGGAATTGATATTTGGCATAAAACTTCCTCAGAGCATTTTGTGTGTGTGTGCAAGTTATTACTATTTTTATTTCTCCAATTTTTAAATATATAAATGGGAGAAATCTTTAATTTTTTTTTAATTATA